TTGTGACAAGGTCCTGATCCCAAAGCCACCAGTGTCCCATGGAGCTCCCCTGTCCTCAGCGTGTGTTTGTCTTTCAGCCCAGCTTTCAGGCCTGCCTGGGACATCCAGAACGTCTCCYGTGGGTTCAGTCTCCTGTGGGTCTGGAGCGGTGGTTCATCAGCACTCCAGGAGCTCAAATCCAGCATAGCAATGGCAAGGAGTTCCACAGGGTTGTATTCCAGGCAGGTTTGCATGGAGCAAGGAAGGGCCAAACACTAAATAATGGAGATAAGGAGAGACTTGAACAGCTGCCCAGACATGGCAAGAAATAGTGATTGTGCCATTAATTGCTGTATCATAATGCAATGGCAGACGGGAGCCTAATTAAAGTGGCTGAGGCAACCTTGTGCTTGGCAAAGCTTGGCTCTCAAGTGCTCGAGCTTGCAGCATCAGTAACGCTCCTCCGCTATGGATTTGGAGTCTTATCATGATAGATCTCACCACCCTCCATATATTGCAGGAAAGGCTCTTCTGGCTTTGACTTTTTGCTGAAGGAGCGTTTGCTTCAGAAGGCAACGAAGTCCATCCTGACTGAGCATCATGCTCTGGGTGGTGCAGGTGTGTGGGAGCAATGAGGTTCTGGTGCAGCAGAAGAGCTGCTGCCACCTACTCACCCTCCCTGTAACAATTAAGGGAGCTATGGGTGGCTGCTGGGGCCAGAAGGCTGCCCATGGAGACCTTTTAATACTTGCAGATATCAAAGAGCAGGTCAGCTGGAAAGCACCATTCATGTTATCCATAATAGCTCTGCAGAGCTGGACTCGGCTCACAGCAAAGAGTAACGAGGTGCAATTCTCTGCTTCATCAGGTGACATTATGAAGGTGTCAGCTGCTCCCGGGTGCTCTGCGTGAGCCACAGAAAGGACACCCATTTCCCCCGCTGTCACCCAGCATGTTGAGAAGGGTGGCCTCAGAACATGCCAGGAAGGACAGGTGTGTACCAGGAACCCAGCTGGTGTTCGGGGGTGAAGAAGGAAAGTCAAAGCATCGGGTTAGTCCTTCTTGCTTCGCTCCTTGGCATCCTGTAACCGTGCAGCCGTTGCCYCCCAAGAGGTTTCCCAAGTCCTCCAGTCCTTCCCAAGCAACACCTGCACTTCACCCGAATCCAATCTTGGAAGTCCAAAGTTAATTTTCAAAAAGTTAATTGCCATTAGCAGATAAATCAAAATCTTTTAATTGGTGAAAACTGCATGAACAAAGAGTGCTTTCTGCCGAGCCATGGATGACTCTCTGCTTTGAGCTAAAGCATCCAAATGCGCATTCGCAGTCTCTGTCTTCAAAGGCAAAAACATTTCATGCCACGGGGTTTTATCCAGTGCAACCACCGCAGTATTTTACAATATCACTGTGTCAGCACTAAAAAAAAAAGTGCTTAGATCCCTTTTTGAGATTTATTGCATTTCATAGGTGAATAGATTTTTGATTAGAGAAACACTCTGCCCTTTTTTTTTTTTTTGCTTTCAAAAGTGCTTTGCCGAGGAGTGAGCTAATGCAAAGGCTGAACTTCATTTAATTATTAAGCCTTTTAAGTCCACCCAGAACCAAGCCCTATCCCCAGCTTGGGCAGGGCTGGTGTTGGTGCATGCCGAGTGCTTTGGAGAACTTGTGTGCTCTATTTCCCTGGGACTTACCCACTGCCKTTGGAAGATCTTCTCATTGGTGGCCAACTCTTCTCATTGGTGGCCAGTGACAGGACAAGGGGCAATGGGTATAAGTTGAAACACAGGAGGTTCCATTTCCAGGTGAGGAGGAACTTCTGCACTGTGAGGGTGACAGAGCCCTGGCCCAGGCTGCCCAGGGAGGTTGTGAAATCTCCTTCTCTGGAGGTCTTCATAACCCGCCTGGATGCCACATGCTCTAGGTGCCCCTACTTGAGCAGGAAGGTAGGATTAGATGATCTCTAGAGGTCCCTTCCAACCTTGAATATTCTGTGATTCTGTGATCTCTGCCAGGAGGGAACCTTTCCACTCTGAAATCCTTTGGAGAAGCAAGGGCTGTTCAGGAAGCCCCTACATCCTAACTCCTGGCTGCTCAGCAAGGTATTGGTTGAAACACCATGTATGGAGCTAACACTAGAAGGCAAAAGGAGGATGTTATAGATATTCTTACACTCCTTTAAATGCTGGAAATGCCTGTCAGGCCCCAGCACCCTGCACAGGTTGCTGCGTGGAGAGGTTCCCTGGCATTTCGGTCCTGGGTGCTACTGGGAGTGGTGGCTCCTGCACGCGGTCTCTATGGGCAGCAGTGCCCAGGAGGAAGCTGCCCTTGGGCCAGGTGTAGATCCGGTGACATGGGCCACTCCTGACCTCTCGGAGGTTTCGGTTTACATGGGTCCTCTCCAGGGCTGCAAAATTGGCCCCACCTCCTGCTTAAGCTGTTTGATTATTAGTATTATTACTTTAAATATTATTTATTGTCTCCAACCTGTCTGGACTGCAGCTGACCAGCTTAAGCAGTGAGGTAGGTAGCTTAAATCTTTACCTCTAAGCAAGCAGCCTGCACACATTTCCATCCCACTGTGTCCTGCTAGCAGGTGTCCTGGGAGATGTAGTGAAGATCTCGTGCATATGCTGCAGCTCCTGTCCTGTGTCCTGTAGCACTGGCATCCCACGTACACTGGATCTGGGATCCTATGTACACTACTGGAGATGCCCTGTGTGCCCTACGACTGATATCTAGTGCATAGGAGTCTGGGATACTGGTTAAAGGGGATAAATATGATGCACGAGATCACCTGCTTGGCTGCAGCTGTTAATAATGGCTGGGACAAGGCTGCTAATTCTTCCAGCTAATGCAAGTAGTTCTGGCAGTGGAGCCCGAGGAGGCAGGATGGAAAGCGCTCTCGCCAGGGCCACCTCTTTAATTCATGTCAGCCTGCACCTGGCAAAGCAGAAAGCAGCAGTTGTCCAAGACCTCACTGTGTCTTGGAGGAGAGGTTCAGCTGGAAGAGGTTCCACCTCCTCCTCATCTGTYCTTATCCCTCAAAGGTAACTGTGACCCCCACACTCACTGGTCCTTCCTTCTCCAGGATCCCGGCAACCTCTGTGCTCCCTCCCTGCTGTCTATCCCAGAGCATCCACACTTTCTCCAGGCCTCCAGGACTGTCCCAAGCTGCCCAGTCCTGCCTGGGAATAAGCATGGGAGGAACGGGCTGTGCCTTGTACCTAATCGCTGTTATTTAAATGCCGGGTTGCCAGGGTGACGGGCGCTCTTGAAACAAATCAAACAGCAATAGCCTAGTGAGGGCGATTCATCTCCCYGCCGAGAGATATGTGCTGCACGAACCACCCAGGTCTACATCCCTGCAGGGTCCCTTGTCCCTAGGGAGAAGGAATCATGCTGAGGACTCAAGTGTCCTACCTATTGCAGATAACTGTGTTGGATGCAGTGATGTTTTCCTTCTGGTCAACCTCTGCTCTTCTTTGGTCATGAAGGGATGCTTGGTGGCTACAAAGGGATCATTAACCTTACTGGGAATCATTCACTTTAGGCGATCACCACATGGGGCTACTAAAACCATGCCCTGCCCATCCTCCTGGCAGTGCCCCGATAGAGACAGATCTGCTCTCCCCACACTGACCCTGGAGCTGGGACCCGCACCCGCACGCCAAGGGCTGGACGAGGCTGGTCTCACTGGGGMCCACTGCTCTGATGGGCTGCACGATGCAGATCAACAAAGGTTGCTGCTGTGGGTCTGGCATGGAGGAGGAGCGGCAGGAGCTGGGCTCAGCACTGCTCTGGAGCCAGAATGGTCCATCCAGGGCTGTGAATTCACATGCTGGGCAAGGACATGGTTGGGTTGCGTGGGGTTAACCATGGCGGGTGGCCAGTCCCATGAGCTTATGGACTGCTGCCTCATGGGTGCTGTGAGGAGAGGCTTCCGCAAGGCTTCCGCAAGCAGATGTGAAGATCTTTAGGAGCTGCTCCCGTTCCTGCATGTTCACATGCTCTCAGACCTGCCAGAGGACAGGCAATTAGCAAAGCAATATTAATTTTGCAAAGAAGCCACTAATGTGGCCCGTCTCCCCTTTGCCTTGAGCTGTGAGCAGTGTCTCAGCACTGACTAAGTGCAAGACCACTCTCCACAGGCACCTTTTAGGAAAACCATTCCAATTAGCAACTAAGATAGATTGCACAGGAGAAATAGGCATGGTTATTTCCCGATATTTACAGTGAATTTACAGGGAATGCTGTGCGGTGCTGAAGGGCCTTTGGATCACAGTCATGTTGCAGCTCAGCAGAGAGGAGTTGGCTTTATGGTCTGGTGATGAATGTTTGCAGGGTGACTATTTCCCTGGGAAAACAATTGAAGCTGTAAAAGGGATGTGATTTGTGGAGGGAACGCATCAGCTCCCAGGGGCTCSGGGCAGCTTTGGCCTCTCATGGACACTTGTCGCTATTGGCCGTACCCGGAGGAGGGACAGGGTCTACCTTGTCCCCTCTGTGTGGTCGCGGTGCCCTGGGGCCTGGAGGGAGCTCTGAGGGTTGATGTGGAGGGAAGGTGGGTCTGGCACGGGCAGAGGGGTCTGTCCTGTGGCTTCACCAAGTCTARCACATTAGGTTGCTCCTTCTGTGCCTGACGGGGACAGTGGGACAATTGTGGTGGCACAGGGCAGATTGGTGGCTGGCTCACCCATGGTCCTCCTCCGGAGACCTGGGAGAACCTGTGGGGAAGAGCAGGGCAGAAAGGAGGGGCAGTCTGGYGGACACGTCTGCGTCCACCTTGGGCGCACCCAAAGGAGCCAGCGCGGGGACCTGGGAGCAGTGTCCTGGGGGACTCGCAGGCCGAGCGCTCCTCTTTGCCCTCTCCCCCAGCCAGGGCGCCCGGCTAACCCTCCCGCAGATCCGATTGCCGCGCTCCACCTTTTATTCTAATTGCTTCGGCATCGCCATAGGAACCCGCTCGGCAAGCGAGGAGCCGAGGAGCCGCTGCCTTCCCGCACGCCCGGCAGAGGCGGCTGCTCCTCTCCACGGGATGGCAGGCGCTGGAGCGGCAAGGGGCTGAGCGCCCACGGCAGCCGGCCGCTCTCCTCGCTCCCGTCCTCTCCCAGGTAACCACCCAGTGGGAAGCGTAGAGGGGCTTGCAAGGAAGGATGGAGGGACCAGCTTTTCTTTGCCGGGGCTAGGAGGAGGGAGCTGAACGACTGGGTGGGTGAGCGGTGGATTTGATGGGGGGTGGCATTTCCCTGTGTGCTGGGATGGCAGAGGACAGGACGCATGTGTAGGGCATGATGAAGAACCTTGTGCTTGAATGAGCTTCTTGCCTCTGCGATAGGTCCAGGGATCACCAAGATGGGTTTGCAATAAGCATCTCTGTTTAGCTGACGAAGGGGTGACACTCCTGCCTAGTGGAGTCACCTTCTTGACTCGTAGCAGAGGCTCAGCTGGTCCAAGAGACCAGGACAAGCCATTACTAAGCTGGAAAAGAGGCTTCCTCCACACTAGGCTTGTCTGCTGCCCTGCCCACCTTGCTGGGGAAGCTGCTCTGAAGAGTCCATGTGGTGTTGGAGAAGCAGTGGTGGTCCCCAATASCCCTCGGACTAAAGAACAGACCATCTTCAGACCTCTCTGCATTGGCTTGTGCTCAGGCTCAACAGACTTTTCCAGAACGACTCCATGAGCTGGGGCTCTGTTGGAGCATCATCTGTCCATCTATCCACCTCTTTTCTCAATGCTAGGCTCTTCAGTTTTGCAGGGTGGACTGAGCGAAACGCTGACCAGAGACCACAAGGTATTTGGCAAGGAGCTATATGAGGTGGTAAGTCTTCCTACCACCACCCTTGAGTGGGCTGTGCATCTCTCTGGTCACCTGCGGAGCTGCTGGCCCTGGCGTGACCATGCCTGTGTTCATGCTGGCAGCTGCAGTAACCCTGTGGGGTTTGCTCATTTGCAGTAACCTTTACTGAAAAAGGCAATGTAAACCCTGCAAAGCCTTCAGCTGCTTCATGAGCCCTGTTCCAACCTCATATGATCGTACCGGGCACGGACGGTCCCAGAGACACGTCCCGCTGCCTCCCTCCCTGCAGGGCTGGGTGGACCAGCCTCGGACACACCGAGTCCTCCGTCTGACCGTGCAGAAGTGGAAAGACCCTGTGAGACCTGACCCCTGCCCCGCTGCACTTGCAAGTAAGACCTTTTCCCATAATCCAGGAGCTTTCTCGAGCCTTGGAAATGCTCCCGCTTGGGCACAAACGCGTTTGCCTGCAACCTCCGCAGGGGCTCTTTGCTTCCCCTCGGTGATGGCATTTGCTCTCTGGTTGCAACAGGAGGCTGCGCACAGCACGCGCCCACACAAGGAATATTAACAAGGGAATATTAACAATATCAACACACGGAGCCGGGTCCAGTGAGACCCTGCCTCCTGCGGAGCAGCACATGTTCCCTCAGCTCTTGGCAGGGTCCTGAGCAGCGGCACCGTGTTTGCCATAGTGCTCTCCCGCCCCTTCCATTTTGTCAACAGAACCATATTTGTTAGATATTGCCGGTAACCTGCATCTATCTTTTATTTTGCTTTTGTTTTTTTTGTTTGTTTGTTTTTTTTCTTCTTTTTTTTTTTTAAATTTTTCCTCCAGGATATGCACAGGGAGCAACACAGGGTTTGTGCCTTTCAAGGCAGGGTTATTTTAGTCCGATCATAATGAATTTGCTCCGGTTCTTAGTCTGTGCGCAGCTATTTTGTTCTGGTCTTGGTGCAAGTTTCATTTGTATTTGGGGATTTTAGCCTCTGCCAACTCCTCTCCATCAAAACCAGTCTCCTCCGCGCTCTCCTTTGAACAACATCACTCTCGTTTATCATTGTTATATAATGGTAAGTGTCTATTTTGGTTACAAGACAGTACTAAATGGGGTATATTTAAAAGTGTGCAAATTGGGTAAGTCCATAGCTGTTGGACTGCATCCATCACACAGCACAATTAATCCCTGCTTCCCTGTGGTTATATCCTCGGCTAGAGCCCATCTCCTAGCTGCCTTCTTTGGATGGGTCACTCTTCCTGGTGCAGCCCTGTGCTTGCCGTGCCAAACACTGATCTTTTAAAACTGCTGCTAATGAAATGCACAGGCTTCAGCGCAGGGCAGAGTTTCCTCAACAGTAATTACAATGTTAGTTGTCTTAACCTTCTTGCACCCCGAGACAAAATTGCCAATGACTAGGTCAGCTGCCTGGTAATTTGGATCCCGGACCCAGAGCTGGGCTCTGCATTCCCTGACACAGAGGATGGACTGTGCACTAAAGCAGAGCTAAGCACAACTATCCCCAAACCTACTTACTACTCGCTTAGTATTTAAGCAAGGTTATGGCACCGTAAGCTGGGACTAAACAATATCCCAAGTGCTACCCTCAAGACATTGCTGCTTGGTGACCAAGGCGGGTGTTTTTCTGGCTGCCTTGCAGCTTCACAAGCCCACCCTGCTTTGGATGCTCCTTGTGCTTGGCTCCCCAGTGCCCGTCTCTGGGTCTTGAGGTCTGGTCACAAAACCTGCAGGAACCTGAAGGATAGAACAAGTGGAAGTGGCTGGGTGCAGTCCCTGGAGCAGGCTGAGTCATGCCGAGCTGTGCAGCCCCGTTCCTGTGGAGAGCCCATAACTTCTCATCTCTGCCTGCTTATGGACCCAGACACTGAGCCTGGACGTGTCTGCAGTACAAAGGCAGAGCCTTTCATACCAGATGCCAGTCCACGTTGGTTAACATGCTGCTTTACTTCTTTTTAACTAAATGCCTCATTAGATGTTTGCCACTTTAATTACCTTTTAATTCATGTTTTATACCGACCAAAATCGCCCTGGAGTGTTGCTAAGTTGTTGACAGGGATCCTTTTCCTTTGTGTGCGAGATCTCTCCTTATTAAGCAATTTCCTTGCGCATGGATGTATTCTTTTCAGTTACTAAGGGAACATGAATCTTAATAAAACTCAATCAAATAGTCCTTAAATAACAGCTGCGTTCATTTAACCAGCTTATCAGCGTTTCTTTGCGCTGCTGAAAATTCCCTGGAAACTAAGATCTGATTCTTCACACTAATGAAAAAGCAATGTGTCTCAGACATGATGGAAATCCTCTAGCATGAGCACAGGGCTGTTATTTAGCAGAAATTCTTGCATTTTTATCCTGTCTCATCTCCACCCTTCTACATTCCCCAAGCGAGACCTGTATACTGGTCATAAACAGCGGGAGTGATAGAGCTGGACGGGTGCCAGTGCTGGATGGAGGGATCCTTCAGTGACACAGTGTCTTGGCAGCAGAGGTCAGGTCCAATAATTACCATCCTTATTCATTAAGGAGATGATGATAAATATGCCACATGCGGGTGGATCATCRCGGCAGCCACAGTCTTCCTGCGTGGAACGGCAGGAGGTGGCTGTGCTCGGGAGCTGGGGAAGCAATGAGGAGGCCATCTYCTCCTGCCCTTCATGTTGCCCCTGTCCCTTGATGGTGGCCTTGGGCTCTTTCTGCTTTTCCCTAACAGCATTCGGGCTTGGGGATGGTAACTTGAGAGGTGCCTGGCTGCTCTTTGCTTTGACTCATCATGACTAAGGTCCTTCTTCTGTTATCTGTCCTTCTGCCTTTGCATCCTTAGCTGGGATCCCAAGCTGGATGTTGACCCTGGAGCTCTTGCTGCCACACTGTCCTGTCACGGCTTTCTCCTCCATCGGCTGTAGCAGCAATGCCAGTGCCCCTGGGTGACTGCAGTGAGGTAGGTGCCCTCTTTCACCATTGGGAATGAGCTCCTTGTAGGTTCTGTGAAAAACCCAAAGCAATCAGTGGGCCAAGAGAAGTATGGCAGCAGGATGTGTGTCCCTCAATACGAAGGGGTCAGCTTGAGGCCCATGCCCATCTTTGGGGGTTTTCAGAACCAGTCTGAATAAAATTCTGAGAAACATAGTCCTTTTAAAAGGAGCTCAGAGCTGAGGTTGCTTTCAGTCTGAATTATCATACCATTACTGGTGGGAGGACCCATGCCTTGTGGGCACATGCCAAAAGGGAACAAGAGCTGAGACAAAGGTTCAAATTAAGGTTTGCTTAATTCAAAATAAATAAATAAATAAATAAGGCCTTCCTAGGTTTCCTATCTGAAACCAGCCCTCTATAGCCTTTCTGGTGGATGTTTGGGGGCTCACTTGACTCTCCCAGCAGACAGGTCCCTGCAGCTTTGGTGACAGTGATCCTGTCCYCGTCCTTTCCAGTCCCCATCTTCTGGAGCAGCCTGCAGAGGCTGGTTTCTCCTCCCTCACCATCTCCCCTTTCCTCTCCAGGAGCTCCCAGCCTGCGCAGGAGCGAATGCAGCAGTGCTGGCACCCGTGGAGTGACCTGGSAGCCTGATGGCCGTGCTGTGAGTGTGCTGAGCCCTGCCCGCGTGCCGAGCACGCCTCCCGCTCTGCCATGAATGATGCGTCAACCATGGATTATGAACTGTTGTCCCCTTCCTTGGTTGAGCACCCGGCCGGTGCTGCCGGCATGGATGCTGAGCAGAAAACCGTCTTCGCCTTCGTCATCTTCCTCCTGGTCTTCTTGGTGATGCTGATGGTGCGCTGCTTCCGCATCCTGCTGGACCCCTACAGCCGCATGCCCGCCTCCTCCTGGACTGACCACAAAGAGGGCCTGGAGCGGGGCCAGTTCGACTACGCYTTGGTGTAGGCGCGGGGATGGCGCGAGCCCAGCAGCTCCACGCKCCCGCTCGGCCCTGCGGCCCCCTGTGGTGTCACCCCCGGCCGCGTGGGGCCGGGGGCCAGGGTGGGTTTTCTAGCGGTTTCTTTCTTTTCTAAGCACTTTCTGATTTTCCTCCCGATCTGCAGCCGCCTTGGGGAGCCATGTTGGAAGGACTAAAGGCAGCTGCCCGGGCCCTTCTGCCCACTCCCCTCGCAGACAGGGCCGCGTGTCATGGTGAGGGGCAGGTGGCCACGGGGCAGGGCCACCACCCAAGCCCGGGTGGCTCTGCCGGTCACCAGGTTGGAGCTTCGACCTCCCTCTCCTCCTGCCTCTTGTGTTGTCCCTGTGCCCCGGGCCGCACTGAGTCCATGAGGGGACCCATGGGCACCGCACCCCAGYGCTGGCTTTGCTGCCCTGACCCAGGCGTGAGAGGAACGATGGAGACACCTCACGCACCGGCCCCTCATGGCAGCGCGGCCTCGGCCTGCTCTCTGCTTCGTGCCGTAGCCACCTCTCCCTGCGTGACCTCTGGGAGATTCCCCCTCCGCCGGCGTAGGCCTGGCAGGAGCCATTCCCAGCTCCAGTGGGTGCCAAGGGGCCACTCCACATCCAGCGGTGCTGGGGCCACCATGTTCCTGGGTTGCAGATGGGCTGTGTGAGGAGCTGAGGGCCGAACAGAGCTGGGGCTCCCCATGTGAGGCAGGAGCTGTGCCTGTCTCGCAGGGCACTGCAGCTTGCCACGGGGCTACCAAGAGGGATTTTATGGCCAGCAGGAACGTTTGTGCTGAGGGAWGGAGCCCCTCAGGGAGACCCCTCTTCCCCACCATGGAAATAAAGCTGCACTGTGCTAACCCTACCACTTTCTTCCTCTGCTCTTTGGCATCCCCTCAGGCTCGTTGTCACTCCCCATGCCGTGGTGGCCTCCCTACACTGCTCCACTGGGGCCAAGACTATATGTCCCACTYGACAGGAGCTGCGGCTGCCCCTCCAGCATGTTCTGTCCAACTTTTCCTCCAAGATTCTAGTTTCTTCTGCAAAATTCCATTCCAGGGCTTTTTGGAATGGTTCAAGCTGGTGATTCCTGTGCTGCTGCCCTGGAGCTGTTGCAGAAGGACACATGCTGATGGTAGGAGCTGGATATAAAGTCTTCTGTTCTTGAAGACTCTATCTGGGATTGAGACCTAGGCCAGTCTGCGGGCTAGGGAGCCCTGTTCACTTTCCCTGGTTCATGAGGGTTTTCCAAGCTCAAGTAATGAGACAGAGCAAAGAGGGMTCATGCCCACCCTTGGAGATCCTCAACACCCAAGCAGAGAGAGTCCTAAGCAAGCTGACCTAACTTTATTTTCAGTTGAGTGGTTGGACTAGAAGTTCTGCAGAAGGTTCCTTCCAACCTCAGTGACATTGTGATTTACCACAGAAGTGACCCAGAGAAGAAGGCTGGGATGTTGTCTAACCTATGGAGACCTCTGTCACTGTCACATCTGAATCTGGCCTTGGTACTACACCTTTACCCATGCAGTGCCACCGGCAGCCACCACTGTGCCCAGCCCATGAGGAAGACACAGAACCGCTTAACCCAAAATAATTTTATTGTTGCTGTTGCTTCCGCTACAAAAATGGAACCCCACAAAGAGATGTCGCTCACTCTCTCTCTCTGTGGGGGAAAATGGGGGCACAGGTTTTGAGTGTCAATGTTTCCATGTTTCCCAAAAACAATCAGCAAAAAAAGTCAATAACTAAAAAAAAAAACAAAAAAAAAAAACCAAAAAACAAAACGCACCAGAGAGGAATGAAGGAAACCTTGAGCTTTTGACAGTTTTGGCTCAACACGCACACACAAACCCACCTCTGCTAATTTATTATTATTAATATTTTTTTTAAAAGCACCTGTTGAAAAAATAAAACAAAAAATAATAAAAAAAATACCCAAACATCAGGCCACCCATCCTGTCACGARCTCTGGGACTCTTGCAAAATCCAGAGTCTGGAGCTGCATTATACAAAAGAGTTTTCAAGTTTGATATTAGCCCAAATACAGTATATATACACTTCCCCCCATCCTACGTGGTGGCAGTGTACCAGGAAATAATCCCCGCCTAAGTACCAAAACAGCTACAGGAATAAGCACTCCTCACAGCCATGAGCACTCATAACTTTGGTGGTTATACATAAATACGAACGAGTGGATGGATACAGTGCACTAATGTTGACCATTCAGTACCAGCACCAGCTTTTTGAAAGCTGAAAAGCACCTTTAGATTCGTTGATTTGTCTATCAGGTAGTCTTGTGTGTTACCAGAGTGAAATAGCACCTTTGGTTTCTCTTTGGTGATGCACAGTGTTGATGGAGAACCAAAAATAGATTGATGCAAAACTAGGAAATGGCATTGAAGAGATCAGCTGGGTGAGGAACACCATCTTGGGAAGAAGAGCCCATCTGGACAGAAGAGTCTGGACAGGCTACTGGAAGCAGCACGGAGACTTCAATTCACTTAATTCCTATTTTCCAGACATTTAGACATTTCCATTTTAGAGCTTTTCTAAAAGCTCTAAATCAGAGACTGACTTCAGTCATTATCTTGGCCCAATCAAGATGAATGTGACAAGTGGACAAAAGGTCCACTTGCAGTCTTAGTGCTAGAAAAGGTCCTAAGGGTGGCCATCGGCACAGGAATCATGCAGAAGGGTAGTTCAGAATCCAAGACTCTTTGGAAAGCCTAGATGGATGGTTGTGTCTCTGACAGGCTGCAGTGTTCCCCTCCCTTACCCCTGCAGTGTGTCATATGTGTCCTGCCAAGTGCTCCAAGTCCCTTTCAGCACGGCAAGGATCCAACTGCTCCATACGAGACTCATGGCTCATATTTTTTCCTGCCAATTTGAGTTTGCTCAAGCACATTCTGCAACAAATTATTTGCCATCCCCAGAGCTCCTCCTCACTTACATAAGGACACATTAACCCTTAGACTTCCTGGAGCTGTGGAAAAGCCCTTGTAGCTCCCATCTCGGGAGGGTGGGCATGTGCTCAGCATACTGTGGTGTGGAAGCACTGGGTGCCCTGCAGAAGCCTTGGGCCTGGCTGCTTCACAGAGTGAGTTTAGAAATCTGACCTACCCGTTCACTCAGTGGTGACTTTTTCTCTTCTACAAAAGGACCAGAAGGCAAAGAGGGGACAGAAAGGGACAGAACAGCCAGTGTAGATGCAGTAGGGTCTCCCTAGCACCATGACACTGAAGAAGCAAAGCAAGAAGAGCTGTGGACATGCACTAATACCACACCATGGCATAGCTCCTTCCAGAGCCATTCCTAGGCCCCCCATCCCATCTTCTGGGATATTGGGCGGTCTGTGTCCTGTAGCTATGAAGAACAGGGAACTTCTCTGTGGGACAGCCCTTACCAGCTTGGACTRACAGGGTCGATTTCAAGGGAAGTGGGCAGGACACAGGCAGGGAGTTCCTGCTAACAGGGTTTGGACCTTTGGTGAAGCTTCCATGAGCTGTTCTGTGGCATGGCTTGGTTCTCAACCGAACAGCCCACGAAGCAGAGCATCCCCACGTAGCCCAGGCAAGGACTGAGCCTCCAGGGACTTTTCCCATCAGTTGTACAGTGCACTGGGGGAGGTGGTGGCAGGAGGGGTGCAACAAGAGAAGAGGCAGTTATTTCCAGATGTGGATGGCAAGGCTAAGGACTGTACTGTCAGTTGGGTGGGTGGGTCTTACGGCTGTTAGTACAGTTGGAGCTGGAGCTTCATCCTCAGTGCCTGGCCCAGCTCCCCTGCTAAGTAGTTGAGATGGTTTTTGGCCTCCATTTTCTGYAGTTCCCTTTTGCGGTACAGAGGCACACTCACAATTTCCAGCAGGTAGGTGCCGGGCACTATTTTCTTGCGGCCGAGGTGCAGGTAGCTGAGCCCTTCTTTTTGGTGGATGCGGAAGTAGCCGTCCTCATTCCCATGGGAGATGAGGTACCGCACACGGTTCTCCAGGGGCTCCACAGCCGGCAAGAGCTCCAGGATGTGCTTCTTGTGAGCAAGATCAGAGAGGTTCAGTGTCATGGACAGAGGGGCATCCACATCCATACTGGCCAAGTTCACGGTGTGGTCCTAAGAAAAGAACAAGGCGTGTCATGGGTAGACATAAAGAGCAAGCCATGGCCAGGTGCAGAAGGCCACCCCAAGGGAAGGGGAAAAGCGCCTTATTTTTAGTTTGCATGTATTTCCACATTTTGGGTCCAAGCTACTCTAAACTCTTCAAAGAAGACCTTCCATTCCCACAAGACCTCTGGATTCAATGCCCTACAAAACCATCCAAGCATCCAGTGTGTGCTGGTGCACAGTGGGGTGCTGTGAGCTGCTCCTGGCAGGTCACCGCCTAGGTGAACTGGCTCTTGCCTTGTCTGGGGACAGACACCCCATTCAGAATGCCACCGTTTTCTTACCTGGTGCGCCTCAGTATCGTTGACACTGCGTCTCTGCCGGCCCCGTTTGGGGTAGCCATTTATCTTACACTCATAGCAGGTGTCAGGTGAGAGCAGGTTGTCTTCATCCTCCTCTTGAGGGGCAGGAATGTAGGAACCTTTCCCAAAACCCAGGCCAGAAATACAGTGCCTGGTGACAAGAAGAGCAGAGAGACCTAGCTCAGATTCAGCGGGGGAACCTTTGCATTGTCCTCACAGGACCCCCAGGTGACACCAGGAAACATACAGCGCATCATGCCTACATACAGGGTAGAGCTTGTGCAGAATGGCTGGTGACCATCCTGGAGGAGATTAGGCCACACCTTGCATAGCAGTAGTTTTAATCCATTTGAACCCTGGGCTTTAGATTAATCCCACATCTACTACCATGTTGGCCACTGCAATAACCACTGTATTAGTGAAATACAAGAGGAGATGGGTACTAGCATGAGAATCCTTCTCCGAAGCTGGCATTGGACAAGCTGGGGGAACATGGGAATGCAAGCTAACTGGCTCTCGGGGCTCCTTCATATGGTACTGGTGACCAGGTGTTAGTGGAAGTTTAGATGCAAAAGGGGGTGGAGGGGCTGGTGCTGTCATCAGAGAAGGTATAAGGGGGTTCAGGTCCAYATTACATGCCTATGCCAGTAGATGTGCCCTACTGACTGCTTCTCTCACCCTTGTCCTGCTCGGAAGTAGCCTCCAGGACAGCCACACAAATAACCTCCATCTGTGTTGGAGCAGCCATAACTACAGGGGCTGCCACCTGCAGAGCATTCATCCACGTCCTGGCACCCACCAAAGGCTTGGTCAAAGTCGAAGCCAGATGGACAGACACACTTGAAGCTTCCCAGAGTGTTGTAGCATGAAGCAGAGCCACATGCGGTGGGACTGGAACACTCATTTTCATCTGTAGCCAAAAAGAGCAGAATTGGTCAGAAAGTAACTGGAAGGGAGCTCCTATGTCCTCTGATATCCTGTGTCCTCTGATGAGGAGGGCTGAAGAGGGACTCAGTGGCTTACCTGCCCTCTATCACCATGTGTAGGATACAAGAGTCCTCTGCGCCCCAGCCCACACTCACCCACACACTGGTTCCACTGGTAGTGCTGCACRTAGCCCTGGGGACAGCCACAGCGGTAGCCTCCGAGCACGTTCTGGCAGCCATGCTGGCAGCGGTGGTTTCCATCGCATTCGTCCACATCTGCAGCAACGACACAGGCAACAGGGAGGCATCTTCTGTGTTTGTGGAGTCACAAAATGGGGAGAAGTCCCTTCTTGGCTGGGCTGAGCTGCCACAGAGC